ATTTCGAGTTTATAAAATATTAATGTTTATCAAAATGATACTATTATGATAGTATGGATGGTTCCTGGACCCCGGTAATATAAAGAATGACAACTAGACGGCCAAGCGAGCCGGTGTCACTATTCAATAATTGTGAGTCTTTAATTATCGGACTGATAATAATTGGGAAGGCTACGAATTAATAACAGAAGGAATATAAATATTTTAAGAACCCAAAACATGGGATGATGGATAATAATGAGCAACTTGACATGTTAGAGGTGGGTACTTTTGGAGGACCCTACCTTGGAGATATTTTGTATGAGAATAAACAGATAAGATTTTATTTGTTCATACAGTTCGGACCACTTTAAAATAAGTGTAACATTTTATTAAAGTGTCACCAAATATGAAACCACATATTATATTCATCTTGGTTTAGATAATATTTATATGATGGTGTAAATTAATGTTGAGCCATAAAGTTGGCCTTTCGATCAAACAAGGTCCCATTATCGGTATAGCTAATTAATCAGATAACAGCCCGAAATAAATTCCGGGGACCACTAAATTGAAGTTGGGTAATATATATTCATTTTAGAGTCCAATATTAATTGGAAGAATGATATATATTTTACTTGACCCGATAAAATAAAATTTAATTAAAACAGTCCGGAAAATACAACTTTCGGGACCGAATGTACATTTCGAGACACATTGGGATGACCTCCCACATGGGTGGGGGCCACCCCACGTAATTATGCAACCAAACAGCCGAGATGTGGGATGGAGGGTGATGGAGGGATGCATTGTATGTGATTTGAATGGTTTGGCATCAAAAGGACATTGAGTGGACCTCACTCCCACATTCATTGTACAATTGAGACAAAAGAGCCTCCTCACCCCATCCTCATCCCATTAGTTCGGCCATACCACACAAAACAGCAAGAGGAGGTCTACAACCTCTTACCTCCATAACCTCTAACCAAGCTCAAGCAAGAAGGATGATCAAGGAAGAAGAAAGAGTGGAGAAAGTAAAGAAAACTTAGGGAGAAAACAAGGTAATGATTTCATTATTATTTTTCCCTCTTTCATTTTATCTCATATGATTTTATAAATCATATGATGAACCCATAAGCTTGTTCTACACTTATAGAGGTGTAGTATGAGGGTTTGGAGGGTTAAGTTTAACCATGAATGGAGTTATGACCGGAGTAAGACCGGTTCACCGGAAAACACCTTCTCGGAAGGTTTTGACGTTTATACCACTTTTGGTTGTCAAACCTTGTTAGGAATTTTACCAATGTATTCTATACTTCTCAAGGAATCTAGGAGTGGCCGGAAAGTCGCCGGAGCCACTGGAGTTTTTGCCGGAAAATTCAAAGGTCGCCGGAGTTCAAACAAAGAGGATAAAAGCTCGTTAGCGTCATTTCAAGGTGAGTGGACGACTATGTGTCTTGTAACTCTTGGTTCGAAACGTGAGGTTACCTAAATAAAATCATAACCATGATTTGAGAAATGATTAAATGTATTAAAATGCATGATTAGTCATGGTGAGTATGGCTAATGAAAAAAATAGATTAATTTATTAATTAATCATGAATATATTTTTCTCAAATATATAAGAAGGTATATTTGGACCATGCATGAAACTAACTAGAGTAATGTAGTACATGAATATATGAAAAGATATGTGAACTTGTGATTATCCATATTAATTATGAATTATGGAAATATTACATGATTAATGAATAAGAGATTTATTTGTGGATTAATCATGAATATATTATTGTCAAATGCATAAAAAAATGCACACATGGACTATGTATGAGATGACTAGAGTAATCTAGCATGTGAATATGTATAGAAATGTTTAAAAGTGTTAAACATGTGATTAGCTATAATGAGCATAAGTTATGTGAAAATGGCATGATTAATGAGTAAAAGAATTATTAATATTTTGATGAACGATAATCATGGATGATTTGGTTAAGGTAATTCAAGATGGTATTCTTGAAGGATTTAAGTACATAATCATATGTGTCATTAAATTAAATCTAGTTTGAAGAATAAACTAGAATGAAATATATAAATGATTAATAAGTATGAAGTACTTATTAATAGTTATGAGAAGACGGCTATATGCTTTATAACTTTTGATTGAGGCATGAGATTACCTAAAGTAATCAAGTATATATTTTATGGAATGACTAAAGTTAATCAAGTATTGGTTTATGCCATGGTTGTATATAAAACATAGTTGAAAGGCATGTTTTGTATGTTTGATGATTAAAAATGTGATAACTTATTATGTACAATGCTCCAAGGATCCAAATTGGTATTTTTGGATCAAGGACGTCAAGGAGTACATGCGTATAAAATTTCGCGTTAATCGGACTCCGTTTGGGCGGTCAAACGGGCGTTGACCGCCGAGGCAAAGGTGATACCCGACCGGGTATGGGTACATACCCGACCGGGTATTGATTAAAAATGGCTCCAGAAGCCACTGTCTTACTAGACCCGACCGGGTAAGGGTATGGACCCGACCGGGTCTCAAGTAAAATCAGTTCCAGGGGCTTCTGCCCCGACCTACCCGACCGGGTGAGATTGGATACCCGACCGGGTATTGGACTAGGCCCAAAACAGGCAGTTTTGAGCAGGTTAACGTGGGTCGTTCGGGTGGGACCCGTCCACATTGGTTGCTAAGGCTTCAAATACGGTTTAAACGCTAAGACTTGGACTAGTCGTTAGTAAAGAAATTATAGACCACGACCGGGCGAGGTACGTGGTAGATTATACATGGCGGGTGAATACCCGGGACCGAGTAAGGTTGGGTAAAACTCTGTAGGACCAGGAGGAGTCCTTTATACTCAAATGTTAACAAGGGCCCGTGTAGTCCTTGAGGTGTGTTAACCTCCAGCAAATTACACATAGGTAACAAGGGCAAATGCAGTCCTTGAGGTGTGTTAACCTCCATCAAATTGCATATAGGTAACAAGGGCCCGTGTAGTCCTTGAGTTGTGTTAACCTCCAGCAAATTACACATAGGTAACAAGGGCAAATGCAGTCCTTGAGGTGTGTTAACCTCCATCAAATTGCATATAGGTAACAAGGGCCCGTGTAGTCCTTGAGGTGTGTTAACCTCCAGCAAATTACACATAGGTAACAAGGGCAAATGCAGTCCTTGAGGTGTGGTATCCTCCATCAAATTGCATATAGGTAACAAGGGCCCGTGTAGTCCTTGAGGTGTGGTATCCTCCAGCAAATTACACATAGGTAACAAGGGCAAGTGCAGTCCTTGAGGTGTGGTATCCTCCATCAAATTGCACATAGGTAACAAGGGCCCGTGTAGTCCTTGAGGTGTGTTAACCTCCAGCAAATTACACGTAGGATGAGGGTGTATGCGTACTCCTCAAGGCGGGGTTAGCCCCGGGAATGTAAACTATGATTGTAAGGACGGTTAGTCCTCGAGGTAGGTGAACCTCAAGGTAATGATTTTAAATGATTAAACGTGCTTGATCGGGAACGAGTTTCCGATAGGATATTTTCCTTGGTCTAGGAATTGATTTAAACCATGTCCGTGATATGGGAGTCCGAAGGGCCCCCACAGTAATTATATTTTGATATCGGGTGAGTCAGCCTGCGGGTGACTCCACTCGAGGGTAAGACATGGGAAGGGTGAATTTAATAAGGCTGTTATGCCTAAATGATTTGAAAGACAAATGGGCCCACGGGCCAGATATTTTACTCATATGTATATATGTATACATTTTGTTTTGAAAAGGGGTAGCTAAGAGTTATGCCCATAATTATACTATCACCCTATTTTGAGGGTCTCACGTGAGAAACGTTAGTTACATTACATACAGTTTGCCCTCACCAGTACTTTTCTGTAGTACTGATCCCTCGGGGGAACCACCCTTTCAGGTTGAAGCTAGAGCTTACTTCCTGCACCCGTTGCTCGGGAGATCGATGGAGAGAAGACGTGGTTCGTGCTTCCTCTCGTTCCATTTTTAAATAATTAAATAATGCTCATGGAACTATTTTGACTTATAAATTAATGGAGCCTGCGAGCTCTTGTTTTACCCTTGTGTGGGTTCTTATTAAAACACTTATATTCCGCTATGTGTTTGATTGTATGTTGATGTGGTTATGTATGTTTACTAATCGGTTTTGGCATATGTATCTATCGGACGTCTTGTGCAATTCGGTAAGGATGAACTGCGGTTATTCTTATTGGGTTGTACGACGGTTGTCCACGTGGCACAGACGCGGTCTGGGGCGTGACAATTAAGTGGTATCAGAGCCAAACGATTTCTAAACTATATAGTTAACCTCTCAACATAGTTTCTATCAAAACAGTTTTCAATGAAAAACCATGAGCATAAGTTTTGTACTTTAAGAGCATTTGGTTATCGAGTTGCAAGGTCTCTGGTTGTTAAGATGGGCCCCTTAACAATTGGTATGGCAGTGACTTGAGCCAAGTTGTGTCTTGAGTACGTTTCTGTCAATTGACATTCAAACGAGTCCAAAGACTCATTCCAACATATTCTTTCAGGAAGGGGTGGTAGAGATAGGACGGTTCGAGGAAATCCGAGAGGGCATGCACCGGGGATACCCGGGCAAGCCAATCGGGGGATATCAAGGTTGCGTAAAAGGCAAGGTATGGGCAACCAAGGCCCACGAACACGAGCCGCGATGGCTGATCACAATGTGACAGAATTCGAGTCGTGGAACTCGGAGGATGACTCAACTTATCACCCTGATAGCGAGTCAGATGAAACTTCTTTTGAGGAAAATAGTGGAGAAGATATACATAGTATTCCTCCTGACCAGATTAGTGAGATGTACCGATGGTACCAGCGTGAAAGGGAAAGACAACGACAGATATCCCAGGTGGGACATGTCAGAGACGAGACCTCTCGCAGGAGGGGTCGGGGTGCTCATAGAGCACAGGTTAGGACAGTCAGAGATTCCGATGCCGAAAGACCATTCATTAAGATCTCAAAGTACCTCAAAGAGGCTAGGGCCTTGGGGTGCAAACCGTTTGATGGGACGGGGGATATCTCGGAAGCAGCCGAGTGGATAAAAAGGTTAAATGATGCAGCCGATGACATGCAAGTGGTTCCTGAACGGAAGTTAAGGGTAGCCACTAGATTGTTGGAAGGTTTAGCTTCTACTTGGTGGGAAGGCATCAAGGGTAAGTTTGACGGGGTTGTCACGTGGGACAACTTCGAGCAATCATTCTATGAACAGTTTTATACCTCTTTCGAAGTTAATCGAAAGAGGAGGGAATATACAAATCTCAAACAGGGCAATGAGTTTACGGTGAAGCAATTGGAACAAAGGTTCCGACATTTGGCAAGGTTCTTGCCTGAATATGCCGCCAATGAGGATCGAATGGCGAACCATTTTTGGAATGCACTGAATTTGGAGGTACGCGAAAGGGCGACCTATCAATTCAACATGACTTTTAGTCAAGTAGTAGCCCAGGGTCTCCAGGGGGAGGAGCTTTGGGAGGAAAGGCAAGCAAGGGGTGCTAAGGAAGCACAAGAAAGGGATCAGATGATCAATCATCCTCTGCGACGAGAGAGGAAGTATGACTTTCAAAGCGAGGGGGACTCTAGCAAGTTAGTTCCATTTTCAAAAGGGAGCAAGGACTGGGTAAGTCAAAGCTCAAGCACTCGGGGCACGGGAGCGCCCAAATGTGAGATTTGTAGGCGGAGGCACCACGGGATATGTCTAGAACCATCTAGATGCTACTTTTGTGGGGAAACGGGCCACATAAAGGCTCTTTGTCCTCAACGTGTACGGGGAGGAGCCTTGGGGGCCCACAGGGGAGTCACGGAGGTTGCAAACCCAACAGGGATTGCTTCAAATGTTTTACCATCCACCAATCAGGGGAGAACTCGCTCGTGAAGGCGATGAATGACAGAAGCTATTTGTGGGAATGACAATGACATAAGGTAATACTCCGTATTTATTTAAACCCTTCATTTCAAAAAAAAAAAAATTATTATGATGTTGAAGATGGTCAGCTTCAATTAATGAAGGGGGAAGTATTTCTCAAGGTTAAGACGCCAATTTCGGGGACGAAATTCCTGTAAGGGGGGGTGAACTTGTAACACCGGACCCGAATTTTACCCAGATAAAATTTTTTCGTAAAGTACTTGGTTAAAGAAGGTAAATCAAGACTAAGAGTAGTCTCGATAAATGAGAAAGTAAAATTTTGTCCTAAATTAATAAAGGGTTATTAATTTAGACGTGGGGACCACTCATGATATTTCGAGTTTATAAAATATTAATGTTTATCAAAATGATACTATTATGATAGTATGGATGGTTCCTGGACCCCGGTAATATAAAGAATGACAACTAGACGGCCAAGCGAGCCGGTGTCACTATTCAATAATTGTGAGTCTTTAATTATCGGACTGATAATAATTGGGAAGGCTACGAATTAATAACAGAAGGAATATAAATATTTTAAGAACCCAAAACATGGGATGATGGATAATAATGAGCAACTTGACATGTTAGAGGTGGGTACTTTTGGAGGACCCTACCTTGGAGATATTTTGTATGAGAATAAACAGATAAGATTTTATTTGTTCATACAGTTCGGACCACTTTAAAATAAGTGTAACATTTTATTAAAGTGTCACCAAATATGAAACCACATATTATATTCATCTTGGTTTAGATAATATTTATATGATGGTGTAAATTAATGTTGAGCCATAAAGTTGGCCTTTCGATCAAACAAGGTCCCATTATCGGTATAGCTAATTAATCAGATAACAGCCCGAAATAAATTCCGGGGACCACTAAATTGAAGTTGGGTAATATATATTCATTTTAGAGTCCAATATTAATTGGAAGAATGATATATATTTTACTTGACCCGATAAAATAAAATTTAATTAAAACAGTCCGGAAAATACAACTTTCGGGACCGAATGTACATTTCGAGACACATTGGGATGACCTCCCACATGGGTGGGGGCCACCCCACGTAATTATGCAACCAAACAGCCGAGATGTGGGATGGAGGGTGATGGAGGGATGCATTGTATGTGATTTGAATGGTTTGGCATCAAAAGGACATTGAGTGGACCTCACTCCCACATTCATTGTACAATTGAGACAAAAGAGCCTCCTCACCCCATCCTCATCCCATTAGTTCGGCCATACCACACAAAACAGCAAGAGGAGGTCTACAACCTCTTACCTCCATAACCTCTAACCAAGCTCAAGCAAGAAGGATGATCAAGGAAGAAGAAAGAGTGGAGAAAGTAAAGAAAACTTAGGGAGAAAACAAGGTAATGATTTCATTATTATTTTTCCCTCTTTCATTTTATCTCATATGATTTTATAAATCATATGATGAACCCATAAGCTTGTTCTACACTTATAGAGGTGTAGTATGAGGGTTTGGAGGGTTAAGTTTAACCATGAATGGAGTTATGACCGGAGTAAGACCGGTTCACCGGAAAACACCTTCTCGGAAGGTTTTGACGTTTATACCACTTTTGGTTGTCAAACCTTGTTAGGAATTTTACCAATGTATTCTATACTTCTCAAGGAATCTAGGAGTGGCCGGAAAGTCGCCGGAGCCACTGGAGTTTTTGCCGGAAAATTCAAAGGTCGCCGGAGTTCAAACAAAGAGGATAAAAGCTCGTTAGCGTCATTTCAAGGTGAGTGGACGACTATGTGTCTTGTAACTCTTGGTTCGAAACGTGAGGTTACCTAAATAAAATCATAACCATGATTTGAGAAATGATTAAATGTATTAAAATGCATGATTAGTCATGGTGAGTATGGCTAATGAAAAAAATAGATTAATTTATTAATTAATCATGAATATATTTTTCTCAAATATATAAGAAGGTATATTTGGACCATGCATGAAACTAACTAGAGTAATGTAGTACATGAATATATGAAAAGATATGTGAACTTGTGATTATCCATATTAATTATGAATTATGGAAATATTACATGATTAATGAATAAGAGATTTATTTGTGGATTAATCATGAATATATTATTGTCAAATGTATAAAAAAATGCATACATGGACTATGTATGAGATGACTAGAGTAATCTAGCATGTGAATATGTATAGAAATGTTTAAAAGTGTTAAACATGTGATTAGCTATAATGAGCATAAGTTATGTGAAAATGGCATGATTAATGAGTAAAAGAATTATTAATATTTTGATGAACGATAATCATGGATGATTTGGTTAAGGTAATTCAAGATGGTATTCTTGAAGGATTTAAGTACATAATCATATGTGTCATTAAATTAAATCTAGTTTGAAGAATAAACTAGAATGAAATATATAAATGATTAATAAGTATGAAGTACTTATTAATAGTTATGAGAAGACGGCTATATGCTTTATAACTTTTGATTGAGGCATGAGATTACCTAAAGTAATCAAGTATATATTTTATGGAATGACTAAAGTTAATCAAGTATTGGTTTATGCCATGGTTGTATATAAAACATAGTTGAAAGGCATGTTTTGTATGTTTGATGATTAAAAATGTGATAACTTATTATGTACAATGCTCCAAGGATCCAAATTGGTATTTTTGGATCAAGGACGTCAAGGAGTACATGCGTATAAAATTTCGCGTTAATCGGACTCCGTTTGGGCGGTCAAACGGGCGTTGACCGCCGAGGCAAAGGTGATACCCGACCGGGTATGGGTACATACCCGACCGGGTATTGATTAAAAATGGCTCCAGAAGCCACTGTCTTACTAGACCCGACCGGGTAAGGGTATGGACCCGACCGGGTCTCAAGTAAAATCAGTTCCAGGGGCTTCTGCCCCGACCTACCCGACCGGGTGAGATTGGATACCCGACCGGGTATTGGACTAGGCCCAAAACAGGCAGTTTTGAGCAGGTTAACGTGGGTCGTTCGGGTGGGACCCGTCCACATTGGTTGCTAAGGCTTCAAATACGGTTTAAACGCTAAGACTTGGACTAGTCGTTAGTAAAGAAATTATAGACCACGACCGGGCGAGGTACGTGGTAGATTATACATGGCGGGTGAATACCCGGGACCGAGTAAGGTTGGGTAAAACTCTGTAGGACCAGGAGGAGTCCTTTATACTCAAATGTTAACAAGGGCCCGTGTAGTCCTTGAGGTGTGTTAACCTCCAGCAAATTACACATAGGTAACAAGGGCAAATGCAGTCCTTGAGGTGTGTTAACCTCCATCAAATTGCATATAGGTAACAAGGGCCCGTGTAGTCCTTGAGGTGTGTTAACCTCCAGCAAATTACACATAGGTAACAAGGGCAAATGCAGTCCTTGAGGTGTGTTAACCTCCATCAAATTGCATATAGGTAACAAGGGCCCGTGTAGTCCTTGAGGTGTGTTAACCTCCAGCAAATTACACATAGGTAACAAGGGCAAATGCAGTCCTTGAGGTGTGGTATCCTCCATCAAATTGCATATAGGTAACAAGGGCCCGTGTAGTCCTTGAGGTGTGGTATCCTCCAGCAAATTACACATAGGTAACAAGGGCAAGTGCAGTCCTTGAGGTGTGGTATCCTCCATCAAATTGCACATAGGTAACAAGGGCCCGTGTAGTCCTTGAGGTGTGTTAACCTCCAGCAAATTACACGTAGGATGAGGGTGTATGCGTACTCCTCAAGGCGGGGTTAGCCCCGGGAATGTAAACTATGATTGTAAGGACGGTTAGTCCTCGAGGTAGGTGAACCTCAAGGTAATGATTTTAAATGATTAAACGTGCTTGATCGGGAACGAGTTTCCGATAGGATATTTTCCTTGGTCTAGGAATTGATTTAAACCATGTCCGTGATATGGGAGTCCGAAGGGCCCCCACAGTAATTATATTTTGATATCGGGTGAGTCAGCCTGCGGGTGACTCCACTCGAGGGTAAGACATGGGAAGGGTGAATTTAATAAGGCTGTTATGCCTAAATGATTTGAAAGACAAATGGGCCCACGGGCCAGATATTTTACTCATATGTATATATGTATACATTTTGTTTTGAAAAGGGGTAGCTAAGAGTTATGCCCATAATTATACTATCACCCTATTTTGAGGGTCTCACGTGAGAAACGTTAGTTACATTACATACAGTTTGCCCTCACCAGTACTTTTCTGTAGTACTGATCCCTCGGGGGAACCACCCTTTCAGGTTGAAGCTAGAGCTTACTTCCTGCACCCGTTGCTCGGGAGATCGATGGAGAGAAGACGTGGTTCGTGCTTCCTCTCGTTCCATTTTTAAATAATTAAATAATGCTCATGGAACTATTTTGACTTATAAATTAATGGAGCCTGCGAGCTCTTGTTTTACCCTTGTGTGGGTTCTTATTAAAACACTTATATTCCGCTATGTGTTTGATTGTATGTTGATGTGGTTATGTATGTTTACTAATCGGTTTTGGCATATGTATCTATCGGACGTCTTGTGCAATTCGGTAAGGATGAACTGCGGTTATTCTTATTGGGTTGTACGACGGTTGTCCACGTGGCACAGACGCGGTCTGGGGCGTGACAGGCAGTCTGGTGGCGGTGCGCCATTTCGGGCGGTGGAGGCAGTCTGCAGGTGCCGATTCTAAAGCGGCACTCCAGTCTCATGGCGGCAGCTTGAACACCTCCGTCGACCCTTCTCTTGCGACTTAGAAAGTTTGATTAGGGTTTTAATACGTTGGCCTGCTTTTGGTTTTGGTGTGTAGCGATCATCGGTCTCTGGGATATATATACACGTGTGAAGAAAATTCTAGACTTCCCTTTTCATTGGCTTCGTCCGTTAATTCCAGACTCTTCGTTTCGTACCTTGAAAATCTCTCCTCTTAAAAGTGTTTCCTTATTTGTCTTTTCAGTATTCTTTTTAATTTATTATTATTGCACGTGTTTAATAGAAGTATTATTATTGAACGTACATAGTATATGTATTAACTATTACCCGTACTCCATATTAACGTTATTATTATTAATTGATTATTAGTGTTTAGTATGACGTATGTAATGGGTTAAACGTACTACGTACATATATATAGTATATATATATTTTTTATAACACATTAATCATATCTTGTTTATTTTCATTTCATTTAATTATTATTTTTATATTTAAATTTTTCAGGTGTCACACCGATAATCCATGAAGTTGAAGCACCGTTTCCCGAGGCTCTAAGGGAAACACGAAGGGTGGAGAAAGATAAGGACATCTATGAGACATTCTCTAAATATGAGGTAAATATCCCTCTCTTTAACTTAATAAAAGGTGTCCCTCGATTTGCAAATTTTTTTAAAGAGTTATGTACAATAAAAAGGAAACATAGACTCAATGGAAAACGAAAAGTCCAAGTTAGTGAACGTGTTTCGGCGGTTTTTTCAAAAGAAACTTCCAAAGAAATAAAATGACCCGGGCATGTTCACTATACCTTGTAAGTTAGGAGGTACTACGTTTTTGAAGGCCATGCTAGATTTAGGAGCGTCAATTATGATCGTAACAAATCCGTTAGATAGTCAGATAAATCTTAAAACAAATCAAGTTCTCCATTCATGGTCATTTAGCCAATTCACAGTGACTTTCCTATATAATCATAATTTATCTCAATACACAAAATATCCCTTGGGACCTTCATACAATCTTCATTATATGAGGTAAAAAGTATATTTTATCAACAAGCTTCATAGTTGTCCAACTAGCATGCCATAATACATACTACCTCCGTCCCGATGGACTTTGCCAAGTGCAAAGTAGGTGAGAAATAAGAATAGTAAAAACCGTGTGGTTGAGATTTGTGTAGAGGAGAGAGAAATGTGCAGAACCACAAATTAGTTACTTTAATAGGAAAGTGGTAAAGTTTTTTGGGGCAACAAAAAAGGAGAAGTTGGCAAAGTCCAATGGGATAGAGGGAGTATTACACATAAAAATCGGATTCTATACAACCTCTTCCAAGTGTAGGTTCGTTCCCTATCAAAAGTTACGAAAACAGCCCTCTTAAAGAGGTGTTTTTGGGTGAGTACAATCCATAACTTTTCAAGGTTCATCATAGGTTATTATCTAACCTTTAATTAAGACCATGAAATAAGATCCCCAAGAACATTTTCCAGGCTTATAGTTGTGCATTATATCCTTCCCAGTCGTTCATATGATTTAGATCATGAATTGGAAGCTTTAAGGTTCAAACTTACCTTAAAGAGAAAAAACTATTTTGCAAGTTTGGGTCTGTCTTCGTTGATTTGGAGCCCTTCCTATTATATTCTCTTCCCAAGATGCACCTTTCCAGAAACTAAGTTTTTAGAGGTTTCCATTGACATATTACACGTTCAATTTGGTTGAGAGGAGCTCAAGAAATAGGAGTAACAATCACTAGAATCAGATACATACACTACAAGACAATCACTTTTTTCCTACATATGATATTTGTATGCAAAGATCATTTTTCGTAGTCTAAATTCTTTCCCGACAAAGTTAATTTGTAGGCATATTTGTAGGGCAAAGCTCGAAGGGAAAGAACTTAGCCCACAAAGATTGAGACTTTGTATGGTCAAACTTAAGAAGACAAATGTTAACCATACAAAATAAATTTGTAGAGTAAACTTTTTTGTCGCAAATATATTCATGGAGACATGTTATTTGTTCCGACAAAATTTAATTGTAGGTAAAGTTGAGAGCACACAAATACTTCTGACCACAAACACGACGCATGTGCATAAGTGTTGGTCCCGTTTGAGTTGGTAATCAGTCTAGAGGGGGGGGGGGTGAATAGACTGGTTCAAGTTTTTCAACTTTTTCTCTAAGTCAGAGTTGACTCGTCAGAGATGGTCAAGTTCTGATGATCAGAACTGGTCTTTGCAGCGGATAAGAGTTCCGGGTAGCCTCAAACAAACACTAAGGCAAATGCCTCTCTGATAACTCTGAAAACAAGATCTGCTGAACACAGATTCCAAGTCTCAGAGTTAACAGTTAAAATCCTAAGTACAGAAATAAAAATTGCAGTAAAGTAAATGACACCGGGATATTTTATAGTGGTTCAAGGAACAACGCGTTCCTCTAGTCCACTGTTCCACTAGCTTTGAAGTTAATCGGTTACAAAGCTAATCCCTAGCACTTAAGAAGTTCTCCACGCCTTCTTCAAGCCTAGTTGTCACCCGGGATGCAGTCCTGCTTCCTGATGACTGGTCCTTTCACTCAGCTTCCCGGAAGTATCACCACTTCACTACTGCAGTTACTTGGACGCCCTTCTTTGCAGAAGATCCTTTGAAAAACACAAAGTTTTTCCTCCAACTTGCTTCGTCACAAATAATGTTTGATGAAGTTCTTGAAGAGTTGAAGAACAGGATGAACTTTGCTCGTTGTTGGGGATAAAAGATTTAGAGTTTGAATCTTCCCAACGTAGGACTTTTCTTGTAGAGTGTTATGAAGGTTGAATCTCAAGAAGTATGTTCAGAGTAATGAATGGAGCAAAAGTTCTGCGAAGTGTTGTTTTCCTGTTCTTCGGTGAGTAGCTTATATACTGGGGTTGTCTGCCCGTTGGAGGAGGAGACAACTGCATTGAATGCGCGTACTGTTGACTTGACCGCCGTTTTGGAAGGTTTCTATTTTTATAATATATCTTCCCGGATTCCTTGGTCAATCATTTGCAATCAATCCTTCAGCGTATCAGGCTCATTTAATGTGCATTAAATGCTTTCCTTTCATGCACAGTCTTCTAGCCGTTGGATGTTTTTACCCGTTGGATTCATAGCTGTTGGATGTTGCTTGAAATCTTCTCAGTGTTAGTCGGGTTCTGATCAGGCTCTTCTGATGTGTTGGATTCTGATGTCTTTCTGAGTTCTGATGGATTTCTGATGAGTTGAGTTCTGATGGCTTTCTGATCTCTGACTGAACTCTAACTCTGACTTTGATAGGTCCGCTGATGAGTACCTCTGATCTGTAACTCTCATCGGCTATCAGATGTCCAAATTTATCAGCAACTCTCATGGAGCAATTCTGATGCACTTCTGATCTGATCCAAAGCAGAGCAACTCTGATCGTCGACTACACTAATACTTACAAAAGAAAATTCTAATACATAAAATCTAATTGGGGGTACTCTAACTTTCTAATCCTATAGCATCATCAAAATCTAATTACATTTATTCCTTACAATTTCCCCCTTTTTGATGATGCCAAAACTCTTTAAACTATTTCCAGAGAAGTGCCTTTCACCAAAAAAAAATAAAGTTAACAACTTTCATTACAAATCTTGGTGGGCACTTAGCATAGGAAAATAGCAAGAGTAAGATACAATCAATCACGCAATAATCAAATAAGGAATAACACAATTGGTATCAGAGCATAAATAATCAGAGAGAAATAATTTGAAATTGCCATGCAAAATAGAGGCAAGCTGGTTATTTTATTAAGAGTATATGTAAAGCAACAAGAGGATAGGGTTTAGATATCTTCCTCTTCTAGTTCAGCTTCCTTTGCTTCAATTTCTTTCAGATCAGCATTTACCTTTGCTCTGATGGAGGCTAGGTTCCTTGGATTCTGACATTCTGACCAGGCAGGTTCAAGCTTGCAATCAAGATAATTTCTGATGGCTTCAGAGAAGTCTTTGCCAGGGATCACTTTCATGTGCCACCAGTCTGATGCTTCTTGCATGGAGCCACCATGGTTTATGATTATTGTCCCATCTCTGTCCAGAATAAGATTTTCCTGTTGGAGAGGTGTCATGTGCTTCTTCATTTCTTGAAATTGAGCAGCATCAGGTTTAGCTAGATCACTTTTAAGCCATGGAGCAAGAGTGAAAGTGGAGGCTGACTTCTTTCCTTTCTTTGATCTTGGAGGAGTTGGTCTATGAATACCAGCAGCAATCTGCTTCTGCCTGGTCTTCTCAAAGTATATAGCAGGATCAGGGGTACCAGAGATGGGAGTCAGAGCTCTGGCGCTTGATCCTTCTGCAGCTCTGATGGCTCTAGCAGAATCTCTGGTATCTTCCCCCTTTTTGGCATCAGCAAGATCACCAAGTAGGAGTCCGATTTTTGAGAATTCTGTTGCCTGGTTCTCCTTAATGACCTCAAGGGCACTTGGCAGAGTCTGGGTTACAGAGGCCAGACCCTCAATGATTTCCTTCTGTTTGTCCACTGCAGACTGGATATCTTTTGTAGTAGTTTCAAGGAGAGTCAACTTGTGATCTCTGTCCTTTCCACTATTGATCAACTTGATGGAGAGTTCTTTATTGTCTTTGCTCAGTTCTTCTACAGCCTGAATCTCTTCACGAGCTTTGTCAGAGGACCACTGGAGATCATCAATAGAGTCAGAGATGTCTTTGATTGCTTTATCCTGCTCTTCAATGGCCTTGGAGTGATGAAAGAGGACAGCAGTGATCCCATCCACTTCCTTAGCAATGTTTCCCAGACTCTCTGCAGTTTTATCCTTGTGGACCTCAAAGGCTGTTGCAATGATTCCCACATGCTTTAGTAGCATATTGATGCCTTTGGTGAGATGTTCACTGACTCTGGTGAGATGTATATCCGTTTCATACTCAGCATCTAGGATCTTTTCCATGCCTTTGGCTATTTGCTGTCCAGCCTGCTCTAAGGTTGCCATGAGGGAGGGACTAGGGGCATTGTCCTGGAGAAGAGATTGAACTTGCTTTGGAGGAGTAGAGGATTGCTGTGGAGGAGCTGGTGGAGAGTTCTGAAGATTGGGTTGCTGATGGGGAGAAGTGTGATGAGTGTTAGGGATTCTCTGATGTTGTGGAGAGGGAGGGGGTGAAGGGGATCGGTCTCTGATGGGTGTAAATAGTTTACAGGGTGAAGGTTGTTTAGGTGAGGGTTTCTTGGGTGATGGAGAAGGTGACTTCTGAGGTTTAGGTGATGGAGTTGGTGAGTGTGAAGGAGGTTGAGGTGAAGGTGGTGGAGTGTAGTCAGGTGTTGTGGGTGTAGGGGATGGAGATTTGGGAGGTGAGGTATGGGGTTCTGGTGTAATTTGAAGAGGTGGAGAAGGAGAGTTAGGGGTTACCTCAATAACTGTTTCTGCAGACTGTGAGGCTCTCCATTCTCTGATTAGATTCATCATGGCCAGAGACACATCATTTGCAGTAGAGGGTTCACCTTCTGCACCTGGAATGGGTTTCATCTTGATCAGTGATTCCTTCTTCTTCTTTTCCATTAGCCATTCTTCAAATATGGGAACCTCGTGTTCTGATAAGGGTTTGACATGATCCTCTGATGAGGTAGCAGTCAGTTTCTTCTT